CTGAAAAGAAAATAAAATTGAAGATTAATGGAAAAAAAAAAAAAGTTTAAAACAGATATTACCGATATTAACAAAATGGCTGTAATGAAATATTCTATTCTATCCAAATGCATTACAAACAAACTCACTTCACAGTTTCAAAAGCAATACCCTTTGGGAAATGTTAAGGTTACAAATGATAATAAATGTATAATTAGCTTTATTGGACTATTAAGAATGAGCATCAGGCTAAGGAGAGTGGCTGTAGAACAATGGCAGGCACTTGTCTTTAAGGAACACACTTATTGCACATTCCTTTCTATAGAAGAGACAGAGTGTCATCCTAAGCCATGATACTTGCACAGCTGAAGTCTCAATTTTCAGGCCAACTTCCTGCTACAACCAGGCAAAGACAGTGAAGTGAAAATCAGATTTTTGTCATTTCTCCCCATACAAAATCCTTATAGTTGAAACTACGTCAGAGCTTCTTTACATGTACACCTGGTCGATTTGCTGGCCCAGTCCTCCTCTTCACCTTGAAATACATAGCTTTGCTTCACAGTCCGAGTCTGAATGCAGTTACCATTAGTGAGATGGACATGTCAGCTGGATACAGGTTTCACTGAATGTGTCTAACATTTGTTCCGTAATCAAAGAATTTCCATTTGATCTCAGGTGTCACATATAACAACAAAAGCAATCTTAAAATTACAGTGGTGTCTTGCATACAAGGGCTAATGTAGTAAATAAGTTAAGTTTTAATAATATTTTTGATATCTCTCAAAAAAAAAAATTATTTTTTAGCCTTATGTAAACAGTAAACCCAGACTGGTCTCATTCTGTGTAACTAACTTATTTTTCAGATACAAATACAAACTTACTTTTTTTTGAAAAGAGGACAGTTGTCCAATTTTATTATCATGTATAATGTTTCCATGGCATATGCAATCTTCCATCACCCACTACTGTGGGTCCTGGATGTGAGGTAGAGAAGACGTCCAAATTATCTGAATGAGACATTCCTACCTACCCAGTGACATCTTCAAGGAAGGAGCATATATTACCATAGATAAGATCGTCTTTAATTCTCCATTTCACTGAGCCAACATTTGCAAGAGTATGAGGGATTCATCGCATATGGAAATCCCACTAGACCATCTCCTGGGACAACTGTGCTATCTAAAAGGAAAAGAGTTCACCACTGAAAAGGCAGAGACTTTACATAAAGGTCTCTTACTTTCTGACCAAGCCTGGGGTCACAGATTTGGAGAAGTTATATGCTTTTCCTTTTCCAAGGATATATAACCACACATCTTGATGAAAAATAAAGTAGAAAAAAGTTCAGTAAGTACAAACTTCAGATTGTACATTGGTTAATATTCAGTATTGTGAATAAGACTTTTTGTTCCCAGCACCAGAGTCTGGTGTTCTGAGCAAATGTAAAGTGTATCTATGTTCCTGTATTCTATGGCAAAATCTGGATGTTTCACTACAAAGTACAAACATAGTAGCTGAATGCCTTCAGTTGTACTGTCTTGTTTACTCAGTAAATTTAACTACCTATTAAGGGACAATACATTAAAAAGGAGTTGATCTGTTAAAACTATGAAAGTACCACAAGTTCATGAATGTGGGCTCTATTTCTTACCCCACAGCTGTGTTTACTTTAGATTTGGACAGAGAAGTCCTCATAGCTACCAAAGATATACACGAATATTCAGGGGAAGCAGCGTGTTGGGCAATCACCTTCTATCTCAGGAAAATATGTGTAAAAGACTTGTATAAAACATATTAATTCCTCTTTGACATCCAATATATTGATGAATAAAGGATTAAATTTATATATCAATTTCATTTAAATACTTGGTATCCATGAATACGATCTTCAGAAATTATCAAAGGCAGTTAACAACAAAGAAACCAGGCAGTTCCCACTGAAAAAAAAATAGAAGGAAAAATCTCTCACATCATCCTATGTTGGGTAAATGACACTTGGTGTTCCTTTGAGTTGGAAAGGGGGCATAAGAGTTCTTCGAGCAGGTTTGACACTGACCCCATACTCTGGACCCTCTTTGGCTGGAAGAACTTCCATAAACCTCAGCCTCGGTAACCCTCCACATTAGGATGCACACGTTATAATATTTAGAGATTTAAAATACTTAGCTTTGATAGTAGCCATAACAGAATCTTGTATGTCTTGTTCATCTACACTGAAATGGACACCTTATTCTCCTCTGTATGTCCATTTTTAAAGTCTGAGAATCCATTTTAAACTTCATTATAATTTTAGTTCTCTCAAGCTAAATCTCATTCAAACAGTAAGAAAACACCTAGAAAGGGAAAACAATTAATTTAAAGCTAGACTTGTTTCCAGCACTGTAAATTTCCCTCATATCCCTAGTAACATGGAGGAGGAATTGCATGTACTATTATTATACATGCTTTAATGTCATGACTATTATCTTTAAAGCAATGGGAATCGGTATGTTTTCAAATTTGGTGGGTTTTTTGGATTTGTTTTTTTTTTTTCTAATTAAGTGGTGTTACTACAGTACTGAGCAAGGACTGTAAATTTAGATCTGTAAGAATCACATTAGTTTTGGTCTAGTGTAAACCATTAACTACACTGGGACTTACTCTGTGAGCTTTTTTTCCCGCTGCCCTGATCCATTTCCCGCTGTAGGACTCCATTTTGAGTCTGTACTGCATACCATTCCCGCAGGATCCTTGATTATGTCACAGTGCCCCACAAAACTGGAAGTTTAATGGGTCACCCATGGCAGGGGGTTAAGTGGCCTAAATGCAAGGGCCACTTGTAAGGAAGCAACAAGCCTGACTACATAGTGCTCAGGCTTTATTAAATTATTAGTATATTTAAGCCAACTACTGAAGTAACTAGTAAGTTTACAACACTGATGTAATAAAACATGTTGCTAATAGTGTTACATCAATATTTTAGAGAAATCTGGATGACTAAGAGGAAAATATGGATAAACAAACTCATTAAGCAATTTCAAAAGAAAGAAAAAATGACTGTTTCAACCCGGTATTTACTTCTGAGTACATTTTTATAACTTTTTTGCCAAAGTAGTAATAACTTATTGTCAGTGCTTTATATTATTTTTTCATCCTACTGTGTAAAGCATGTTTCTTCCTTAAAACAAGAGTTGTGAAGCAATCCTAACATGAAAACTGTGACCTAAGTTAATCCTTGCTCCTTAAAAAAAATGTTTTACATTTATATTATGATAATGCTGAAGTTTGTACTGTGATATTAACATAAAAATGATATTTCAGAATTAGCAATGATTCTATTCTTGTTAAAATAAGAAACACTTCTTCCTTTTATTTTACAGGATATTTAAATTCCACTTGAACAAATGTGTGTAATGTTAACATAAAATAAAATGTAAAAAATATTCTTCCAAGTCTTCTGTAAAAGAAAATGAAGTATATAAAATTAATTTAAAAATTCTTATTATTGCACCTTCCTAAATGCAGTTGACATATGTAAGCACAAACATGGAAGAATATATTTCCAAAGGGGAGAGAATACATGCTCAGATATTATCTGGGAAAAAAATGCATTGAAATTCCTCTGTGATGAATAGACTTTTTTTTCTCCTCAGGGTGACCTCTACCTTCAGAATATGATGGTTTTATTATGATTAATAAATTTCATTTCCACAGAGGAAAGGAACAGTGTCAGCTTAAACTTAAAGCAAGCGGGTTTCTTTTTAAATGCTAATTTTTAAACACGCCCTTGCATGACACCAAATTTAGAAGCTCAGAAGGTTAGCAGAATAGATTCTGATTTCCATGCTGAAAATAGTAAGAAGGTTTCAAACTATATTGTCACACTGAAAATCAGTAAGTTAGTTCAGTCACATAGTCATTGGTTCATTTCTTCACTATTGTGCCAGCATGCTTATTTCTCACTAAAATTAGTGGCATTTAAATGCTTTGTGATAATTTTTACTGGAAATAATCATTCTAGGTAAACAATTTGCTAAAATTTAGGACAAGCAAATGGAAAAGTATTTTGAATAAATTAATAGTCAATGAAATTATCTGTGTATTTTACAGAAAGTTGAATCAATGTCTCAAAACCAATATGTGCACTCACAAATACTTGTCTAAGAAAACAGCTGATGAAGAATTTTGATGCACCACTAATCAGAACAAGATAAGTTCCACTATTTTCCAGTATATTTGGAACAAGTATTCAGGAAAAAAAATAATGTTTTATAGCATTTTGTTATCATACTGGCACTGGTTCTTAAGTAGCTTGACTAGCACCTTACTGGGAAATAACTGAGAAAAAAAATCGGTGTAGCCATGCTGACATCTGTAAATGCAGCTGTAAACTATTCACCAAAAACTCAGTGTATGGTATGTTCTTTACTCATGCTATATCTCAATTTCTTCAATCATTTTCAGTACAGGGTTTAAAATTGTTAAAAATGTTACATAAAAGGACAACTTGTCGTCCACTGCACAAATAAAAAAAAAAAAAGAGAATTAAAAATGGGAATTGGTTGAGATGTATTTTAGTAGAAATTGAATCTTTCTCTTTAAATGATCAGTAGTAGGTATTGCTGAAGTCTCTAAAAATTGGGAAAGTATGCACCTCTCTAATTGTAATTACGATTTTAGGTTTTTAAATTCTTTGGTACTATGGGTGTATTTCTGTACACATCTAGGACAGACAGTGGATCTCTGATACTGGAGGCATTTGGAAGCTCCTTAATACTATACATACTATAGGGTTTAATAACAACATTAATAAGGAAAAATTCACAGTATAGAATATGAAACAAGTTAACACATTTTCCACAAATTATTTGACAACTATGGAAGGAGAATTTTAAACATGATTTTATTTTTTAGAAATTTGATGCACATATCTTTCTGATCACTATTATTTCCCCCCATTTTTTAAAGTCTAGGTATTGCTAGAAGAACTATAGAAAATTGTGAATCCATTTAAGAAATGTAAAAAGAGAAGTTAAAGATCTGGT